CCTGCATAACATTTCCTAGAAGCTTCTCATGCATGCTCTAATAAAGTTTTGCGAAGACTTCCACAGAACTCTCCTTAAAATTATACTGGAACAGCAAGAAACGATATAATCAAAACTTGTTTCACAGGAAGAAGGAAGTTTTAGTTTTAAAAATTCCAAAGTAGTTAAGTAAAAGAAAAGTAAAATCTACATAAACTACTAAGAGTGATGGTGCAACAAGCTCTTGACAGGTAGTCCTCAACTTATGACCATTCATTCAATGACAGTTTGAAGTTATGATGGCACTGAAAAAAGTGACTTATGACTGGTTTTAATGATCATTGCAGCATCCCTGTGGTCAAATGATCAAAATTTGAGTGCTTGAGAACTGGCGTGTATTTATGACAGCTGCAGTATCCCAGGGTCACATGCCTGACATTTTCATATCTTCCTAGGGGTCTTCCAACTAATAAAATCAATGGGGGAAAGCCAGATTCGTTTAAGAACCACACAATTCACTTAACAACTTCAGTGATTTGCTTAACCACCAGGGAAAAAAGTTTGCAAAATTAGCGCTACTCACTTAACAAACACCTTGCTTAGCAACAGATATTCTGATCCCAATTGTGGTCATAAGTCAAGGAACATCTGTAATACATTTTTCTTTGGGTCATATTGCTATAAAATTGTCTGAATGTATAGCACCATCAAAATTGCCAATGTGGCGACCAACTGCATTTTTCCAGAGAGGAAGATGTTGTCTCATTGCCGTTAACCAAGAAGTCCCCATCTCAAGTGATCATCAATACAGCAGGGAACACACCCTGGTTGAGATTAGGAGAATTCTCTTTTAAGAACACAACACAGGAAACCAATATTTGGATGCAGATAACAGATCCTAGATAAAGTGAACAATCTAGGATCAAGTATTTTCTTGCTCTGCTGAATACAGTCATCCGGCTCATGGTTTGTTCAATTATCTAGGTAAAGGTAAAGGTTCCCCTCGCACATATGTGCTAGTCGTTCCCAACTCTAGGGGAAGGTCTTCCTCAGCCAGCGCTGTCCGAAGGCTTCTCTGTGGTCATCTGGCCAGCATGACTAAACGCCAAAGGCACATGGAACGCTGTTACCTTCCCACCAAAGGTGGTTCCTATTTTTCTACTCACATTTTTACATGCTTTCGAACTGCTAGGTTGGCAGAAACTGGGACAAGTAACGGGAGCTCACTCTGTTACGTGGTGCTAGGGATTCGAACCGCCGAGCTGCTGACCTTTCTGATTGACAAGCTCAGCATCTTAGCCACTGAGCCAATTATCTAGTTTTAGCCAAACATTTATCTAGTTTTAGCCAGACAGATGCAGAAGTACAAGATACTGCAAAGCTATTGATGGCCATAGGGAATAATAAAAGGCACGAGAGAGAAATACCACAATTTATGCCAGTGAACTAACGTAGGTTAGCTTCTCATGACCCCTCTTCCCCCAATTTCCTGAGATATAAGAGGAAGGGAAAGAAAACACTGTCAGGTTTTGATGATTCCATTATTATAGCCAATATCAAAATTATTGAGTGTGTTTCCTGACCTGGTCCACCTCAAAGGGCGGATACCAATAATGTCCACAGACTCTGAAGTCTTGTCTAGTATAAGACAGCTACAGTAGTTATAATCTTAACAACCTAATGGTTTAAAAATAAGAATCCTATTTATAGGAGAGAGAACAGATATTTAGTTCAAGAGAATTCCATGCCACAAAAAGATCCTATTAGCAACATATTGTGAAACAAATTCAAGTACTAGTTGTGCACAGTAGAACCCTTCTGACCACGACCAAATTGGGTGCCAACCAAATCCGCTAAATGTTTCACTCTGATCACGAACACATCCTCGGGTGGTGATCAAACACACCTGCGGCAATTTTCCCTGCATCATTTTTGGTACGCGCATGCACAGCCAGTCTTGCTTCCGGTCACAACCAAATCGAGTTGCGATCGAAGTCCTGGAACGGATTGCGGTCATGACCGGAGGTTCCACTGTATTTGTTTGTTTGTTTTTATGTTATGTAGTTACTTGGGAATACTCAACTCAGGCTAGAGTAGGGCATTAAATAAATACAAGTCCTTTGTGCAGAGTTAGCATGATTTTATAGCTTTTTTTTTCCTTATAAATTCCAGAGAAATTCAACGCCTTTGTTTCAGCTCAATACCAATGTCTACAACAAATGTTTACATTTCATTTAAGCAGCTTCTGAAACCCTGCACCACACCCCAGCAACCACATAAAAATTCAATTTGCTGCAAAAGCCGATCACACACCTGTTCAATCATGTGTGTACACTGCCTTTCTTAAAGACGTCATGGTGTATTGGGGAAAACATTTTATTTTAAATGTGTTTGAAAGAAGTGCATTCTCCAATAAATATTTTGATGGTTGTGTTTAAATATAGTTTCCAGTTTTAATCCACCTTTTTAAAATGTCAATCATTAACAGAAAATGTATTGTTACGATTGTTGTATTAAGAAGATTATTCTAGGAAAATGAAATATACATCTCTTTCTCACTGACATACACAGTTGAACTAGATTAGGAAAATCTACAGCACCTAAAGATCTGAAGGATAATTTTATTCTAGTGAACCAATCAGCTTCAGACTCAGGAGTAGGCTGCTGGGAGTTCGCAGGGGTTCGGGAGAACCTCTAGCTAAGATTCTCTGCAGTTTGGAGAACTCCTAAATTCCACTTCTGGCTGGCCCCGCCCACCCTGCCCCTGCCAGGAGTCCCCACGTGGCCTGTTTTGCAGGTAAGTGCATGGTGCGTGCGGAGTCTCAGGAAGGGAAAGAAACAGGTCTACCGGAAGTTCGGGAAGGCTGGAAACAATCCGTTTCAGGCCTCCGGAGCCTGGGGAGGCCGTTTTTGCCCTCTCGGAAGCTTGACAAAAGCCTTCGGAGCCCAGGGAGAGCAACACCTCCCCCTCTCCCGCCGTGGTACAGGAGGCCAACTAGGCCATAACCGCCATGGCCACGCCCACCCAGCAACCAGGCAGAGAACCCCTTGCTAACAATTTTGAAGCCCATCCCTGACTGCAGTATGCATTTAATCTGAATTTTACCACAGTACATTAATATAGGAACTCTATGTCAATAGTTACCAGCTGGAGACATTCCCTGAAACTGTTTCTTTTGACACGAGAGACTTGCAAAATGGCTTCCCTATGATCATAGCCACAAGGCACGAAATTTATCCCATATGAACTGGGTGGGATCCTAAGGTATTGCTATAAATGCATGAAGGTCAATGCACTGCAACGTATTGTCCTAATTATTTTTTACCATAATGATACAAAAAAGAAATCAGATGGGCAGTGAATATGGTGAGAATTAAGGAAGTGTCTGGGGACACAGTAGTATCACATATATAATCTGATTTACCAACTCATTTCTGGCACTATGGAAGCTTTTTCCCTATGGTATTATTCCAGATGGTTATGGAAGATTCTATCTGTATAGAAATGACTGATATGATGCAGATGTCAGATTCACATGTAACTCAGTAGTATAAGAGTGCATCATAAGGAAGAGGACCCTAACCTATTTGTGTTCAGAGAAGAGCCACATTGAAGACAAGTTTCTATGTGAAAAATTGAATGAAGTGAGTATATTTAGCCTGCAGAAGAGACAACTAAGAGGTAATATTTAACTCTTCCAAAATGTTGCACATTCTACAAATGTACCATCAATGTTGGTTATGCTGCAGGAGCAAACAGGAATGGTAATTAAGAATATCTCTCCAGCAAATTATACAATTATACTATGCAATGGAATATTTGCCTCAGTAATTCCAGGAGGCATTGTTCCTTCATCTGCAAATATTACTAGTGCAATTGGTAATTTACAGGATTGTGGGTGTATTTTGGAACATCCAACATGCTACATCCTTCTGATCCTGATATCATAATAAGCGGTTGCCATCTTGCAGATGTTGACCTTCTGCCCTTGTAAATATAACACTAAAGCTATCTCCAGATGATGACAAAGTTGATTCAGATAAATGCTTTTCAGTAAGTGTTGCTTTTAGAAGCATTACATGGTCAGGGAGAAGTGATTCTCTTGATCCTATACCAACTACACCTAAGGCAGGGGTGAAATCAACTTACCTTTGCTACCGGTTCACAAATGTGAGTGCACACCCATGCATGCACAGGAGCTTTTGTGCATGCGCAGAGCGTCAAAATTGACGTGATGACGTCCAGGCGGGTGGGCAGAGCCTGCTACCAAGCATGCCTGCAAAGATAAGCAACAGCGACAGGGGAATCCACTGTGCCACGCGATTTAGATTAGCTAGAAAGCAGGAAAGCTGACGATTCTAGCTAATATAAATCACGCGTCACAGCTGATCGTCGGAAATACCGGTTCATGCGAACTGGTAGCATATTTTACTATCGGTTTGGGCAAACTGGTACGAACCGGTAGCATTTCACCCCTGACCTAAGGTCAATGTTCTGTTAGTCCTGGAAAGTATTACTTCATGGTATGCCATTCTCTAAAGTTACCCTGATTCACTGAAACTATTGGAACACCAGGGGTTTTTTTCTCACACATCTCATTAAGCCATAATATTTGCTTTTAAATTAGTGTTATGCTTGAACCTATGTTTCAGTTTTAGGCATAAATGGAACTATTATGCTTTAATCAACTGTGCATTCCTAAAACCTTGACATAATATTGATCTATATATAATGTAGACAATTTCAAGTTAAATGGTCTGATATTCTTAATAAAAGAGGAAATAGTACCTCATGCAGACTTTCAAAATAACTTCACTGACATCTGGTACTTAAACAAGACTAATTTAAAAGTTCTCAATAATTGGCAATCTTAGATTAGTATTTTGAACAACAAAATATCCATTATTACAATGTCTGTATTTTTTACTCAAGAGCTTATGGTGGTACACAATTGGCTTTACTTTCTCCCCCCGACAGTGCAAAATAATGCCTTAAATTTTGTTTGCTAAGCAGATCTTACCTTTGCCTCTTCATTAACATCCCAAGTGAATGAAACAGCATTATAGGCAATTTCTTCAATATTTCCAATGGTGTTGAAGCTTTCCTTATAATCAGCTGTAACAAACGATAAAAAGATCATAGATGCTTATATAAAATGCAGACATTTCTTCCAATACAATGTACATGTATAAATAGGTGTATGTGTGTGTGTGTGTGTGTAGATAGATGATAGATAGATAGATAGATAGATAGATAGATAGATAGATAGATAGATAGATAGATAGATAAGATAGATAGATGATAGATAATTTTTGATTTGCAATTTAG